CATGTTAATATTAGTTAATAATACTTATTTCAGAAACGGTTGTCTAAGAATTGCATTTGGAAATAGTTTTGAATTGCAATAGCACAACTGAAAGGAGTTATTTCAGGACATATCTACTAGAAATATATTGTCAAAATAACAACTTATTGCATAAACGACRATTCAAAACTGGTTCCTCGCTGTTGAATGATGAAACAACAATGTACAGTTGCAGTATTACTGGTGTTATTCATAGGAATAGTATAATTGTATGAGGAAGTAGCTGATCCCATTAAAGAGTGCTCAATACACATAAAGTGTAGAGCTAGTTATATTGTTATAYATACATGTATGATATCAAAGAGGCAAGATTTTGCTGTAACTCCGAGTTTCGTGCTACGCACTCATCAGACAGTATTTAATAGGAATATATATACTATTCTAGGAATAGTATATATAATTTATACCTCAATTGGTAAAGGCTCATACAAGAACTTCTTGAAAAACTCTTTCTTTGATGCCTGACAGAGAATAACAGCTTTTCCAGAGTCATCTAGAAGTGGTCTGTTAGCAAACCCTATCATGAGTAGCACATCGGTGACAGGATAGTCAACATATCTGAAAAATAGATTTAATATACACACACATTTTGAGAAAGGATAAAACTCATTGGTTATTCTCAATTATTCTAGTTTGTGAGAACAATTAACAATTTTATGTAATGTCATTGTAAAATAGGCATGAYGATCAATGGGACAAGGACAGYACTGCTAACAGAAATCTAACTTTAATCRTCATTGAATCTACTTACGAGTGGTTTTTGCCTTCATAGAATTGTGTGTCCATTATRATGACAAGGTGAGAGTTCATGTTAAGAGACCAACACAAACTACGACTCACAACCACCACCTGAAAAAGACATTTATCAAATAATCACACTTTTCCTCCATAATAATCTGTGCACAAGTACTAAGACCAATAAGTCTTATTCTGAGATCAATTGTGAGTTTTGACACTGTTTTGCATGGGACACAAGCCTTTCTTAATCTTGAAGCAACCAGAATCTAATTAGTTGTTTGAACAAAGCAGCCTGTGAAAAGCTATTGTGTGCATTGTTATATCAAGTTTTTCTATAGTAGTTCAAACATGATCATTTTTACTGAACTACCTGTATAGCACCAGAAGTGAACAACTGTTCTGTGACTTTGATTTCAGTTTCTGACAATCCTTCATGAAGAAATGCAATTCCACAAGTCAACGTYTCTTGTAGCGTCTGTAAAAATGCCAAGGTTAGTCTCTTATGTTTACTATGACATGTAACTTAATTATCTTAATAAGTATAATGTTTCTGGCGTTTACACCAAYCCAGTTATTGAAAACACTGAATTGGGAAAAGAACCAGATTTTATCTTCCTCTCTTAATCAAACACACCAACAACAARGCACTGGAGTGAAGTGTGTGAGAGGATGTTATTTTAATTATAATTCATCATTACTGCAATTTTGTGYTAKGAAAACTTCAAGAGTCMAGCAGCATTTGGATTTTTTTGCTTCTATAAACAAATACTCCAARYTACACTGCTCAAATTCTCTTATAAAACTTAATCAACTTTAAACATTTTTAACAGTCCATTCAATGTGCAACATCATACTTTTCTAGAAACAAATAAATGCTTACTTTGTCATTGATTCTCTTTAGGAAAGGTTGCAAGTCTTCCTCAGTACAATGAAGAAACCTAATCATAGCAGTAATGGTAAGAACACAGTACAATATACTAACAATATCACAAGACTTGTAGTAAAGTCATTAACTGTCAATATCTCAAACTACAATCACAACAGAAGTCCATCATCACTGTCATCATTGAATGTCCATAATCATCTTAAAGATGCGGTCACGGCAATGATTTTCCATTGTGTTTACCTTATGAAATTGATAATGACAAATACACGGAGGGTGTAGCAAGGATAAACATTGCTATTGCCTTTGCTTTCATAAAAAGACAATTATCACACCAGTCTCCCTACYCCATCACAAGATATGCTCACTACAAGCCATTACCTTTGTCCATCGCTRTCWGCACCACTRAAGGTAACAAGATCAAGGGCAAGTAGTTTGGTTTGTCTTCTTGATGGTACAAATACTATGACAGGTTTCTTGGAGGAGTGTTTAATGATTGCTTGGTAGGATGGTTTTGTCATGGCWATWAGTCTTGATGCTGTATGGGTGATGTTGAAACCTTGGATGTGAAGCTCAAGAGGAACTGGTCTCACGTTAGGATGGAAATTGAAAAGACCAGTTGAACTAACTCCAAGCCACTGAGCAACATCCTAAATATATACAATGAACCAATTATGGAATTAATCAATCWATCTATCAGGCATTAAGTCTCAATACAAGTCACTATATAATTTATTAATGAAATCATTAAACATTTTTTCAGTGACTTTTAAACCAACCTTTGCATTTGCTAGAGAAGAACTCAAGGCCACTATTCTAATGTTCCTTTCAAGTTGTGATGAGATGTACCTCATACGAGAACAAATAACTTCCATCTCAGGCTAATAAAAGAGATAAATATACATATATATGTTACATTATTGTACAGTATTTTTGATTCAAATTCATTCCTCACTACTCACCCCTTTGTCTCCTCCAATGAGGTGCGCTTCATCCATGACAAACAGATGGACATTTTGTACATTCTTTCTTTGCTTCCATCTTCTTGACAATATATCCCACTTATCTGGTGTACTGACAATTATATGACCCTATATCAAACAGAACAATTGATCAAATGGCATGGCTAGACAAAATAGAATACTTGATCAGGAACAGAAAAGAACCGTTAAACAAATGATATGATTAGACAAAATAGAATACTTGATCAAGGTCAGAAAAGAACAGTTAATCAAATGATATGACTAGACAAAATAGAAAAGTTGATCAAAGACAGAATAGAACATTTGATCAGCAATGAACTAGAAAGTTAGWTYAAATTCCATGACTACAAAGAGCAGTTAATTGTTTACCTTAGCAAGAAGCTTGAGGTCTGCACTTGTTTCACCAGTCAAAAGGACCACATTCTTTCCAAGTAACATTCCAAACTTGCTCTGCCAGTCAGCRTAAACCTTGAAAGAACAATGTTGTCAATCATATCAGTAATACGTCTTGATAGATGAACTGTGCTTTTCTCTATTTTCCCATTCATTTTTTCTTCCATTTTCCCATTCATTCAGTACTTACATGTTCAGCTAACGACTGCAATGGAGTAACATACACACATCTATGGTCAGACCCTTGTTGTAGYAAACGCAGGATTGCAAATTCAGCACAGATAGTTTTCCCACTACCTGTAGGTGCTCCAATGAGCACATTCTCATCAGAGTCATACAAAGTACTGAACACTGGAGAGAAAAAGACAACAAAATAATGAATGGAAATAAAATGAAAGAAAGAGAACATTGAAAGGACAAATTGAAAATGCGAATGCAGCCATACTACTGGAAAAGATGCCAGAAAAATCTGACTTTGAACAGGCCAAATGAACTGATAAATGATATTTTGAKTGAATGAATGAATAAAAACTAAATGAATGAACAATAAAAACAGAGCATTATTAAATTCTCTCTTTAATTGTATATACCTTGAGTTTGGATAGGATTAAAGTAAGGGAACTTATCCTTGTACAGTGATTCAAATGCTGGGTTTCTCAGTGCTGATACTGGTAGAGGTTGAAGGTCAAGAAGCTCAGTAGGTGGTTGATTTTTTTCTGGTAGAATCAGATGTCTGAATGACACAGGAAGCTGAGTTTCTGAGCCTATTGTAGTTAAACACAACATAAATTTAAACATAACTGTCCATGTAGTTATCATAATGAGTTTTTGGTGAACATCTTTTGAGAAAGTGAGCAAGTAACACACACACACACAAACATAACTCATGTAAGATTCATGTACAAAGCCAACACTAAAACCYAGCCAAAGCAGCAAGAGGCAATATCTTACTTACCTAACCATTTATCAGAAACAATGCGTATAAAGTACTGAGGCGGCAAAGGTTCAAAGACTGGAACAAAGAACTTAATTATGTGTTCATCAGAAGCATACTTGGCCTTGAGTAGAAAGTACTCATGGTGAAGTATGATTTCACTGTCAACATCCTCTACAAGAATCCAGAAGGCTTCAGAGTTTCCATGAACTTTTTCATCCCACTGGAAGTCAGGAGTAACAGTTAACTCCACACTTAAWGTTGACCTGCAACAAGAAAATGAAGTTACAAAATTTGCACAARTGTATTATTCAAAGTTTTGTCACTTATCAAGCATACAACATCTTTTCACTGCAATATTCCAGTTACAAACCTAGTTATTGGTTGGATATGAGTGGCCAGTTCCATTTTCGGCAACTGATGTACAAACTTGTGTAAAGTTTTCCCCATCTTWGGCATGTGAACAAGTTCTCCAATTTCATTGGGCCCCAGGTCATAGTACCTYTCCCAGGGGAATTCTTTCTTTTCTATCTTCTTGATTACTTCCATGGGGATTTTCTTGAACTGACGCAAAGGTGTCATCGACAACCACCTGGGAAAAATGAATGGATGGGCAAATAAATGAATGGGTGAATGAATGAAAGAAGAGATGAATAAATGTTGGTTATGAATGACTGACGAATACAAGAAAGAATCTGTTTATGAATGAAAGGATGGATACATGAAAAATATATATAAAAGAATGGATAAACAAACAGATGATAAGTCAAGAATATCATACTTACATTCTTTTGTCCACAATTTTACTCAAATTCAAAGCTTTTTCAGCAAGTTGAGCCCAGCCTCTATTCAGTACAATTTCAAAGATGGCCCTCAGTAGACGCCCTGCAGACTGGTGATGAAAGACAAGTCACTCTTGGTTTATATAACATACATTTTCCTTTTTCTGAATTCTTCAATGTACAAACTTGATCAAGGTTTCTACTAAGAAWTGTTATTTACCTGGGTAATGTATACCATGTCGGACATTAATGCAAAGCCTTCTAGCTTCAGTTGAGAAATGTATGACTGCAACAGCACGTTCACCTGAAATAACAATGAACACAATTTCCTTGTATCTTCTCAATTCAATTCTTAACCAAGAACATAATATTTCAGTACCTTTGCACTTGGTTCTTCAATGCTTTCTTTTACTGGTATAGGCACTCTCTCCAGCAACTTATGGAGCTCTAGTTTTTCCTCCTTTAAAGTAAAATTATTGCCATTCAATAAACAAGTAGTGAATAGGTATTTATCTCTCTAACTGTACAAATTATAGATAATKTTCAAAAACAAGAAAGACATTGTATTTACCTCTCTAACAGTGATGTACTTGAATTCAGATGATAAAGAAAACACCCTGAACAACTCAATCTCRCTKAGAGTTGGTTTAAGCAGGTTGTTGAAGGTAGARATGGTCTCATGSGTCAAATAATAGTGACTGGCAATACGGCCAAGTTCYGTACTCTACAAAAATCAAGCAAAAACAATTAATTGAACAATATTTTGTGCTAGMTTTACATATTTTTGATATACAAGGGTATTCACATTTTAAATGATCAATAAATCCAGCCTCAATAGGGAACATCATATTTCTAACTCTTTTTGCAAGCATGTGCCAGAAAGTATGCACTTTATGTACTATGAAGAAAGTTATGCAGTTGAATACAAACCTGAAAACTGCCAGTTTTCTTGTCATATTTGATGAGGTTGTTTTTGTCTAACAAAGTTGCTGCTGARTGAACTAAATCTGCTCTCCTCTACAAACAGACCAACATAATATTTATCAAAACTTGASCCAAAAATACTCAGTTAAATTAATGTCCATGTACTGTTAAACAAGAAAATTAAATTACCTGCTCTAAGAGRGAGTCTTTTTCTATTTCATCAGCTGATATGCCATACAGCGAAGGGTTGCGCAGCATACGGATATACAAGTATGTATAACCTGGAAATAATGTAAAAAATTATCACTAACGGCCTGACAAACAAAATGTTTTAGTTACATGCATATAAAGGATGGTATGACTATCTTACCAAGCCAGTGAACGGCTTCTTTAGCATTCTGTACCGATCCCAACACTACCTCTGCATTCAGATTRTCAGCCAGCTTGGAAATAAACTGACTCTCAACTGGAAGCTGCAAAAAAGGTTTTTATATCAGTATAGTACAGTATAGTGCCTGCTCTGTTCTGTTCTGTTCTGTTTAGTTATATGTGATTATAAATACCTGTTGGTTCATGAGTGACAAGTAGTACTGTAGTTCTCCATGGCTGGTGATGAGGATTCCTTCTCCTTTGGAGTCATACTGWGGTCTACCAGCACGACCCAACATTTGCAGGATATCAAGAGCTCCTAATTCAACCCAGCGACCTTTCTCTGGGCTGTACACCTATGATATATTGTCAACTGAATTRATAAACAAGTACGGTAACTGATGTGATTGTACATGTAAAAGGAAATTTGGAGCTGTCTACGTGTAGTTTCTATTAAACACTGTAACTGACTAGCAGATAAAATTCAATATTAACCTGTGTGCCTTTAATAATGACAGTATGTGCAGGCAAGTTAACACCCCAGGCAAGGGTTGCTGTGGACACAAGTACTTGTATGTGCTTATCGGCAAACAAATCTTCCACTAATGTCCTGTCCACCCTTGTCATCCCRGCATGATGGATGGCAAAACCATATGGAAGGAGATCTTTTAGGTCTGGATTCTTTACTTGCTCTGCTTCAGATCTTAAAAAAAGTAATAAAACCATTAACACTGAGAAGGAAACACAATATTCACTGGAAAAGTATATTTTTACAAGACATTCCACACAAAGAAACATATTGAGTTGAAAACATTGAAAAACTTTATCATGTTATGCTAGGACCACAGGACATCAGCTTGTTAATAATAATAATAATAATATGTGGTATTTATATAGCGCCAATATCCTCTGAGTTCAAAGGCGCTTCACATGTATAGATCATTTCACACGGACCGCTGTTTTTTAAGGCGCAATTGGCAGCCACGCGGCTTACAATCGTTAATTACTACATGTAAGTGATTTCTGCTTCTCTTTCTTCATTACCTCAATACTTCAGTGCTAGCAGAATCCTCTCTCAAGAAAAGACCCAAYGAATCCCTTTCAAGACACATGTCTCTGACAGCTTTGGCTGTCTTTGCTGTCTCCTTACGTGAATGGACAAAGACAAGAACCTGATTTTTGCCAGCATGCTCCATGACTTTATCATAAACTACTTCATTKACAACCTAGAATTTGTACAAAAATATTGTGTATTAATAATTGTGTATTAATATCTTAGTAATGAGGCTGCTATAAAATGAGCAGCTAATCTCTATGCAATGTACAATTTTAGCCCCTTACATGTGATGTCAAAGGAGCTTTGTCTGAGTGAAAAATCAAGAGATTTTTTTGCTCTCTCAGAAACTAGAAWCMAYTGAATWCCCCACAYAATAACCATAATCTMTACCYACCTGCATTCTYTTAACAGGTTTTTTCTCTGTCACTCCAATATACTGTTGTTCTAATGGAACAGGTCTGAATGARTTATCAAAGAAGAACAACCCCTTTGCAGGATTAACACGCATGAATGTTGCCACATCTTCATAGTTTGGCAATGTTGCACTYAAWCCAACCAGTCGAACTAGTTCTTGTGTTGCTTCTATTTGTCTTATGGTACGAGCAACCAATGATTCCAAAACAGGACCACGGTCATCGTGTAGAAGATGGATTTCATCAATAATCATTAGYCGTACTAACTGGGTGTAAGTGCGGTCACCACTCTTGCGTGTGATGATGTCCCATTTCTCTGGAGTACAGACAATGATCTGTGTRCTGTTGATTTGTTCYTTGCTCAGATTGTGGTCGCCTGTTAACTCWGATACGGTGATACCATATGTTCCCAACCTCTACATAGCAAACAGTTTATAATATTAAAGGAAAACTTTTAAAGGATTGTACTGTAAAACCAAAGACAATACATGTTTAAGCAATTAATATAAAAAGAAAAAAAAAACATGAAATGTACCTTGGAAAAATTCCCAACCATTTCCTGTACTAGTGACCTCATAGGAGCAATATAAATGATTTTAAATTCCTCAGTATTAATKGTGCCGTCCAGRTTGATATGCTTTCCTATTTCTCGCAGAATAGTCAAGAGTGCGACATTAGTTTTACCAGCACCAGTTGGAGCACAAAGTAAGATGTTTTCATCTGAGTTTAAAGCAGTGTTACACAGTCTACTCTGGATTCTGTTAAGGGTTGGATAMCCTTCAAAGGCTGGYTGAGCATACTTTGGTARTGATGATATTGGGGTAAGTTGCTGAAAAGAAACAATTAAAATTCAACAATTAATTATTCCTTATTACAACACCCATTTTTAGAGTGCATGTCACATTCATGTATCCACTTCATATAGAAAATAATATTTGATATTCCAGATCATAAAGATAAATATTAATTGAATATTTATCAGTGATAATAATCCCTGGACTTTACTATACCAAGGATTTGGCCCTGTACATCACGGGGAAGATGAACAGGAATTTGACACCTTGGAGGCTGTTTCTGCTTTACAAMAGTGTTGCAGACAACTGCTGACTTCATAATACCATCCATTGWTAAACACCAAAATATGCSCACTTGGCAATTTGAAAACTGCTCCAARATTYCATTSATTTTTCAWATTTTACAATATCYTTTGAATTATTCAWGCCCTCTACATTTTATTAGTGAGGCAATCATGATTCTACAAACATTATCAAAATTTYATAGTATATCTTAGTTTCTCTTACCTCTCCAGCATCAAATGGCTTTGGTTTYAATGCCGGTACATGTACTTCTTCATATCCTTTACCCTTCTTCCTTARRGACCCATTAGGAAGCTGACACTTCTTGTTGGCCATCAAATGGCTGCCATCTTTAAACTGYAGTTCCTCTAAGTCAATTATTTTTCTGTTGCCTCTKGTTTGGTCAGATTCAATGGCATCCAAGTCSGCCGCTATACGGGCCTTTCTATTGGCTGCTTTTCTTGCTCGTTCTTCCTATAAAACAACATTAAATTAATTTAATACATAATATAAAGTAGAACATAAGAAAATTTCAACTTTTCTAGCTTACAGATAATACCATCAATAACATAWCTGTATCTTCTAGTCTGTACACATTCCTGCCATAAAAAATGACAYAAAAATTTCAATTTATAAATTTACCTGTACAAGGTCTCCCTTGTCTGTTTCAGTAAGAGCATGTAAAATCTGAGCTAAGTCAGGATCAGCTTCCATCTTCTCTTCAATCTCTTTCTTYTCTTTACCACTCTGTGCCGTAGCCAATAGCGTGCAGTATAGTACCATGTTACGATTCTTTCGCAAAAGTCTTATGAATGAAAACTTGTCATGACCAAGAAGAAGCATAAGTTTATTCTCAAGCTCTCTYTCATCACTTGCACTTTTAAGAATCTCTAAGACTTCCTCTGATTTGGATCTTGACGCCTCGGCATCTGCATAATACTTGTTTAACTCACGCTGCAGCCAAAACGCATCAATGTGGCGWGGATGAAGCRTATCACTAGAGTTCTGTTGTGATTCTGACAACTGTAAAGAGAAAATATTTAAAAGAATCAAATAGCAGTAAATACTGACAATATAAAAACACTGATGCTTAATTCTCCATCGTAATTATATCAATCTACATTTTTTTTAATAAGAGTGAAGAAATTTGTTACTTACCCCACCCTGGAGGGTCATTGTTGTGTCGGCTTCCACACCATCCTCCTTGTCATCATCAGAATCYGATTCTCTGACTTCATCAAAGTCTTTTTCTTCCTGAAAAAAAAACATCAAGTTTGTCATTAAACCTGGGAACTTTGTCAACATTATGCTGTTATTTTTCAATAATAATAATACATACTTCCTCTTCTTCATCAAACTGGACGGCCACACCATAAGTCTCATCAATCACTTCATCTACAAAAACAAATATGGTTTTATTCAAAAGGAAATACAACAAGTAGTTTCCCCAAGTTTCAAACTTATATCAACCTCATTGCAAGGCTCTTACAGGTATGCTACCTGATCAAACATGAAAGCGATAAGCGACTGCGATTGAGGTGGAACTTTATKATCATTAGATGGTCAGAATTATTAGATAAACTTAGGTTTAAAGTTGATAGTGATCAATTGGYTTCTTACCTTGATTTGTATAGTCTCTATCAACACTATAGTCAGTAATTTTCTTGCCAAGATTGACTAGTAATGCATAACGTTCATCAGGAATGCTCCCAAGCAGCATCATAATCTCCTTTTGTTTTTCTTTGTCCTAAAACATTATCAAAGTTGTATAAATACTGGAGAAAATACTTTATTTATATTAACAGGACTAACCTTCAGTTTATCATCTTTCAAGCAAGATAAAACTTCGTCAGCAGCTCCGCAAAGAATATCTCGTGGCTACCAAAAATATCAGTTATATATCAGTACTGTATGTTCAATGCTAGTTAAAAACTTAGTCTTCTTTATAATATTATGAACTGTTCATAGAAAGATAAAAGTATAATCAAGGTCATTTGTTTACCTGATCACCAATTGCAGCTTGGATAAAAGTCAAGAGAACTTCATAAGTTGCTTTACTTTCTCTGGTCTTAGGTCTGTATTGTATTCCAGAGAGATCCTCWATGTCATCAGATAACAATGTATTGCCTTTAAGCTTACTGAAATCCTCTTTTTCTGATAACTTTTGCCTCCTAAAGAAAGGGAGAATACATTATACATGTACTTCAGTTTTATTCCAAATAATTCCATATAATAACAGTTATACTGGATCAGATGGCATTTGCATGATAGTTTTCTACTGAGAAATGATAGAATTTGAAAATGAATGGAAATACCCTATCATTTTATTACCCCACATGACTGAAAATGGTTGCCAGCCCTGGACCGGGTTGTTCAAAGCCAGATTAGCATTAATCTGGGGTTAACTCTAAAGGGTTTTCTAAGAATTAACCCAGGATTAGCACTAATCGGGCTTTGAACAACCCAGCCCTGAGCACAGTGTAAGCCAGGTATCCTTACTTTGCTTTGCGTTCAGTATTAACCGGTGGCTTGGTTCTTTCATATTTGTCACCCATTCTTATTGTACCAAGRTGACCCACAAGAGACACAACTTCACCAGTAGCTTCATCTCTACTACGACGGTCGATAAGTGACCTATCRGCTTGTAAAACAAGATTGGAGTTCTATGGAAAGATTAATTAGAAATGTAAATGTTAAATGTCAGATATGTTCTTTTTATGTGGAGATATGAGCCATTTCTGGATGTAAAATGCACGTGAGCTCAGAATGTAGAGTTGATTACTAGATTCAGTTGATGTCAAGGCATCAATGTTTGTCGTACCAGTATCTACTGTTCATACCACGTACTTATCCAAACGACATTTTGAGTGTCACTCGAACAASCATGATCAAAAACCAACAATATRCCGAACCAGAAGTCAGGTGATCATAACTTTCATTCAGCTTAATATTCCTCGTCCAACACCCTACCATACGATCTTAAGCTATTTTTTCCAATAATACATTCATATTCTATTTAAGTAGGTAGCAAGCAAATATAATTTTCTGATAAATGTATATTTAAAGAAACTTGTCTAGTTTTTCACACGTGTTTTTATGGTGTGACTGATTTCCTACCTCTTTATACTCGTATTGCCGCGATCTGGCGGTGGCATCAGCCATGTTGACACTTTAGACACACCAGGTATTGCTTGTAGTATCTTTTAAGTGTAGGAAGTTTCGGTGAGTACTTTGCAAAGCAAAACTTCAGGAAACTTTGCACAAACAATAATCCAACATGGCTCCGAACCGACGTTYTTTCGGCGTCTTCTAATGGTATATACCGCTGACATTGAATGATKGAAGAGGAAGTCTGGGAACGACCATCTCCAGGCGCATCTTTTCCTTTCTTTTTCTCTCTCTTTTTTCTCTTATTTTTAAGTTTTTCCTTGCTCAAACTTTAAAATCAGTTATATTACTTGAATTATATCTCCCTCCTTACACCACAAACTATTGTATAATGATAATAATGATGGCATCCTACTGATGAATGTACTAGTTGACATAAACTGCACAAAACTAACATGAAAAGCAAGGAAATGAATAAAAGTGAAAAAGAAAGAGATACTATCAGCAAAAATAAGATAAATTTTATAGGACATCTCAGGGGAATCCACCCAATCTTTTTTCATCAGTTGTTCAATTATTTTTTTTTTGCGTGTGGTTTTGATCCTCCATGGAGCCATGCTCTGTTTTTTTTTTTTATTGATGCCATTTAGGGTCTTTTTTCTTCAATATTTCTTTACTTTTTCCTCTCTTCCTTTCAGTATAATCGTCTAAGTCTTTGTTTGAAATAATGAATGACTAATACTTATCAAAAATAAGTTATATGAGACGCCTTTTGCGGTCTGCCCATGGTAATTATATTTATGAAGAATCAGTTGAAAATCACGGAAGTATGTTCCCGGAATCACTAAAGATTATTTCCAAACTTCAGTAATCGTTTCCCGCATACAGTTGTGGCGACGGACATCTTACTGTGAAGTCAAAGTCCAAAGTAGACTAGGTTCCAAGCCTTCGAGGGGGCTTGGTAGAGGAGGAAGAGAAAAATTCCCCCCCTCCGACAAAGTACATTTTATACTATTACTAGCTATACTAAGTATGTACCTATGAGGACTGATCACAACCTTACTGGTTTTCAGTTTACAGACCTGTAAAGATGTRTCATGTCATGTACCATGTCCAGTTACCAGGACATGACTTCCCCCCTCTCAGGATCTCAAAATAAGTTATATAAATGAAAGCCTTGTCATGTTTCGCCCTGTTTCGAAACTTTACACCAAACGAATGACTGAACGCCGAGTGCCTCCTTGAGTTAATCAAGAGATAGGACAGCTTAGGTGCTTTACAGGATCGCAGATTGAGATGAAGAAGTAAAGTATGGAGTACTTACAACTTTGTCTGATTATTCTAAGAAATGGAATAAACATAGTTAACTTATAGTAGAGGAACTTAGTATTCCAAAGCACGCCCTGTGTTGAAATATGAGACCTTTGAATACCACGATCTTTTCACTTTCCGCGGGAATAACATCCTTTAATAAGTCTAGGAATGAATACCCTGTCGATAGTGCGCCATCCTCTTAACTGTTTCTCCGATATTCCTTTACTTGAAAGAGCAAATGAAACCCTGAAAAATTGAAGATCGAAGGAGCAGATTTACCTGTTTTTGTACATAGCAGTTAGTGCGGAATAACCTGAGAATAACTGGCTAGCGTTCCCAGCCATGCTGACAGGGTTTATTTTCATGTCATAGGTCATCAATTATCACTGAATGCGATCTACTATGTAGTCATATATAATACTACATGTTTATTTAATTAACAAAATGCTTAAAGTTCATATTTTCAAGACTTACTCGATGAAGTTTTTTTGTAATTACTAACAATAGTTTACTGGTAAATAGCTAGAGTAGTCATCATATGCTTTACGTGTGACACACCAACGTCACAAACAAGGTATCAAGTTATTCTTAGAAAGAAAATTGCGTAGTAATCAGTGCACAGCAATGTGTTTGTAAAATGAACAATTTTCTTTAAATAGTTTTGCCTTCATGCAGCGATGATGACTGATTTGAAGATAGGGGAAGTAAAGAAAATCATTTCTATACCCGGATATTTGCCCTTCTTTGAGGAAAGGATTAGTACACTGTAAAATTTACCCTGTTTTAATTCGTTGGGACTTAAAAATATTAGTCCGGCAGAAATAAAAAAATGCGCATGTTTCAGTTAAGAAGTTGGGGTTATGTGGTCATTTTTGACTTAAGTGAGAAGTTTGGAATAAAAAAGGCAAAAGTCAACGCCAAATAAAACCCCTGCTCAGTCCAAAAGAATACTGATATTTCTAAATGACAGCAAATGAAATATCATTAACGCAGGAAAAAAAATTTGAACAAGCGCAGCTCAAATCAAGTTATCTGTTGGATTGAWTTTGATGCGGTTTTGTGATGTTATTCAATGGGCTTTAAAGGTTTAATAAATATATCAGTGTTCTTCAACTATACGCAATGTTCCCCAATACATTACAATGTCTTACATACAATGGCTTACATGTCTTTGAAACAAAGCGAAATACCTCGTCGGCTGAAACAGGAAAGTACTCGTTTCGTCATTCTCTTCAACAGCACAAAAAGAACATTGAATTCATCATAAAACTATTGTATTCCTTTAGTTCTTTAGGGAATATTTCGGTCAAATAGAAAGCTTTTTTAGTTAACACATTAAAAAATATTATCACGGGCCTCAATGTTCCAATTTTAGGACAGGGAACAATGTGTATTCTTCCGGTTTCTCCACTGAAGATCTCCCTAGAATGAATGACACACCAGTCTATATTAGTTATGTGATGCGAAGTCTTACTATAAATCCACTCTCTAGTAGCTCGGCAAGATTAAGATTTCGATACTCTAGTAGTAACAACCACGTTCTTCGTTTGATTTTTTAACAATGGCTTTTCAAGGACGATTATTTTTTATGGCTGCCTCAGTGCTGTCCCTCTTGGTGGCCAGCCAAGGCGCACCAAATCCGCGAGTAAAGGCACTTATTAACTCGTTGAAATATCGAGCAACTTTTCTACGAAGCCCAAGTGCAGTCGCTTTAAACAAATATGTAAGTATACCATAGTTGTATTTTGAAAGTTTGATAACAGTAGTGATCATTCTACAGTCATTCTATAGTGTCCGCAGTAGCGAGAGTCCGCAGTAACGAGAGTTACTTTCAGTCAGTCATTTCTTTGTATTTTTCGCCGGGGTTTCAGTATTTTACTATCCGCAATATCGAGGTGCCCGTTGTAGCGGGGTGTCCGTAAGGCGAGAGTTGACTACTGCAGTTGTCACTACTTTTCATAAATTATATACAGATTTATTTTTGATAAACTTTTAAGAGTAAACAACATAGCTGGCGTCGTGTCGCACTTTCTTTTCTGAAAACAAATGACAAATCTACATCCCATTCCATTCTACTAAGACTTAAACTATAATTCTTGTATTCCTTCTATAGACAACTACATACTTCCCGAAAGTACAACCTCGCATTTTAAAATTGTTAAAACTTGATCTCGTTTCAATTGCAAAAAAGACTTATACAGCACAAGAAACTAGCGGCAAAACGGTGAGTACGACACGATGACATCGGTTTGGGGGACTGAAATGATGCAATGATGTCGTTTGGACCATCGCGTACAAATCTTTACTAATCTGGTATTTTCAACAGGCCGATATATACCTTTCCAGGATGGTCAAGTTGTTGCTCACTTTCATAAAACCTCTGGAGTATGCAATTG